AGTCATGTGTCTAGTTCTGGGGTCCCCAGTACAACAGAGACATGGACATACTGGAGAGCAATCAACAAAGGGCCACAAAGATGTTTAAGGGACTGGAGCATCTCTCCTGTGAGGAGAGGCTGGGAGAGCTGTGACTGTTCAGCCTGGAGAAGAGAAGGCTTCCAGGGATCTCATGAATGTGCACAAATACCTGAAAGGAGGATGCAAAGAGGACAGAGACAGGCTCTTTTCAGTGGTGCCCAGTGACAGGCCCAGAGGCAATGTGCACAAACTGAAACACAAGAGGTTCCTTCTGAACACAAGGAAACATGTTTTTACTGTGAGGGTGACTCAGGACTGTAGCAGGTTATCCAGAGAGCTTGTGGAATCTCCATCCTGGGAGATTATTAAAAACCACCTGGGTCCTGGGCAACTGGCTTTGGGTGGCCCTGCTTGAGCAGGGTGGGTGGACAAGATGACCTCCAGAGGTCTCTTCCAACCTCAAATATTCTGTGATTCTGTGAATCCATATTCTAGCCTTCTTTTCAGTCCTGCCCCTGGACCACAGTCCAGTTCAGTCTTCTTTTGCTTCTGATTTGACTTCCTGAATATATCCTGGACCTGGTTCACTGCTTGCCTTGTTGATGAACCCTACTCTGCTTGCTGTGTTCGGGAGTGTGGAACCGTGCCCTGGCTACTGAATGCACTGCTTGAGCTGTGGTCACCCTGGTTCCTGGTTTGCCTCCCCCACTGGCCCTTGCTACCTCTTGTCAAGTTTCACAGCAGTATATACATAACTAATAATGCCTAGACATATTCATACAGTCTCTCCTCACAGTAGTTTCCGTATGAAGGAAATAGAAGCCAAACCTACAGAATGATGAGGGGCTTCAGCAGGGAATGGAGTCCCTCAGGAAGACTGACAAAGATGTTAAACAGCGCCGGTCCCAATACCGACCCCTGAGGAACGCCATTCATCACTGATCTCCACTTGGACATTGAGCGATGATCGCAACTCTGAGTGTGACCATCAAGCCAATTCCTTATCCACCAAGTGATCTACCCATCGAATTCATGTCTCTCCAATTAAGAGACAAGGATGTTGTACAGGACAGTTTCAAATGCTTTGCACAAGTCCAGGTAGATGACATCAGTCACTCTTCCCTCATCCACCAATGCTCATCATAGAATGCCACCAAATTTGTCAGGCATGATTTGTCCTTAGTGAAGCCATGTTGGCTGTCACCAATCACCTCCTCATTTTCTTTTATTCCAACTATGAAATATATAAATTCTCTGTGGTCCAAATAAATTGCCTAAATTTACTTGCATTTACCCTTATTTTAGCTTCTGTACTATGAACAAAATAGCAACTCAGTCTTCATGGCCTTTTTAGTACTTGGCTCCTATGATGAGAAAGGCAGCAGTGAGGCCCTTCTGTAACAGTAGTGGGGGTTACATTTCATAATAAAAGAATGGGGGAGCTGTGCCGGTATGTAGATGCTTCCATACTTCCCAGCTGGTAATATGCATGATACCACAGGCAGTACCAGAAAAGACTAAAGACTTCTAGGTTTTTTTTCCTTCCTCTGCACCTAGTAAATTTATGACTGTAAAACCACACAATTACCCCTTTTGCCCTCCACCTCCATTCTTCTTTCCTTCATTTAGTCTAAGATTGGATTAATCTTTGTAGATTCTGAACTGCTGTGGCACAAAAACTATTGACAAGGTTGGGATGAAACATATGAAGTCTATTTTTCCTAATGCTGAGAAAATGTACCACTGTCCATCTAAACAGCACTGTGCAGTAGGCATGGGTTGGTTGATGTCCTAAGTACTCTAAGACAGACAGAAGTGAATTATAAGTTCTATTTTATTTTGGGTTACTGAATCCAATAGCCCAATAGTGGTGAGGCTGCTGCAGCTCTTTTTCCTGAGGTCCACCCTCTACCAACACTGAGTGTGTATTCCCAATAGGCATACAATCACATACACAACATAAATATACATACACACACAGCCAGCCACACTAATCCATACAGACAGAAACACTCATGCAAACACAAATTGCACTGACAGACCTGGGTGTATGAGCCTCTGAGGCCTGCAGCCCCACACCATTTCCTGGTACAGACCCCCTCACTCACAGATACAAACCCTCATGCACTCCTTTGTGCACACGTGTGCACACACACACTGGATCCCAGTACCTGACCTTAGACACTCAGTTAACCCAGGAATTGGTCCTGAACTCCTCAGTCCTCCAGTTACCTCACACACCCACAAAAACACTGTGACCCACACTTACATGTTATGGACCTCTGAGAAACTGGCCTTAGACATGCAGTCTGCTTGCTGGACCTGGATGCTCACTGTCCCAGTCACTGCTCCTGGAGCATGCAAGCCTCTGAAGTCTGCAGCCCCAGTCCAGTCGTTGGTACACAGTCGAAGTACTAGATGTGCCTTCTACTGTTCTCATAACAGATAAGCTATTATTATAATGATGGTCAGTGAATGTTCTTTATCACAAGTTCCTTATGATAATACACATCACTGGAAGTTATGTTGTAGAACATTATTGCTGCAAAAGACCAAATAAAAAACCCCAACAACTCATGATTTTTGAATGGAAAAGAAGCTAAAACTTTATTCCTAACTCAATGAGCTGGGTCCTCAGCCTTTGAGCATTAAGGTGTTAGCTTTAAAGATATGATACTATATGATAAAATATGATATGGAAGTACAGGGAAAACCCAGCAGTGGAAGAACAGGAGGGGGGACAGAGAACCACCAAGAAATAATATTCAGAAGTTCTTAGACAGAAGCATAGAAACAATTTGCTGTGTTCCTGCCGATGTGATGAAGACGACTCTTCATTTATTCTCTATACAACTTGCCACCAGTCTAATTGAAAACAAAACAGAATAAACAAATTAAACCCCCCCCCAAAACCAAGAAAAAGCAACAAATACAATAATCTAGGAAATAATAGACTGTATTTATCAGTGTCCCAACTGCTGTGTCTCCTGAAAGCATTAACAGAAATGACCATGTTGTATCTCCATGCTTTCTCCCCTTTTTGTATCAAGGAAGTGTATTAAACTCTACAGCTTCTTTATTTACATACTGAACTAATATCTTTATACGCAACTTTGTGTGTTAGATGACTAATCCAGTGTCCTTCTATAATGGCGTGACTGCATCAGTGGACAAAGGAAGAGCTACAGATGCCATCTACCTGGACTTCTGTAAGGCCTTTTATACGGTCCCACACAACATTCTTACTACTAAACTGGAGAGATATGGGTTTCATGGATGGACTGTTACATGGGTAAGGAATTGGCTTGATGGCTATGCCCAAAGAGTTACAGGCAATGACTCAATGCCCAAGTGGAAACCAGTAACGAGTGGTTTCTCTCAAGGGTCCATACTGGGACTGATACCATTTAATACCTTCATCAATGTGTGGGACAGTGGGATTGAGTGGTGCAGTTGATATGCTTGAGGGAAGGGACCATCCAGAGGGGCTTGGACAGGCTTGAGGTGTGGGCCCATGTGAACATCATAAAGTTCAACCAGGCCAAGTGCAAGGTCATGCACCTGCGTGGGGCAATCACCAGGATCAGTACAGACTAGGGGATGCATGGCTTGAGAGCATCCCTGTGGAGAAGGACTTGGGAATACTGGTGGATGAAAAATTCTATGTCAGCCAGCCATGTGTGCTTGCAGTCTAGAAAGCCAACTGTATCCTGCTGCATCAAGAGAGTGTGGCCAGCCGGTCAAGAGAGGTGATTCTGCCCCTCTACTCTGCTCTCATGAGACCCCCACCTGGAATACTGTGTCCAGTTCTGGAGTCTTCAGCACAAGAAAGACATGGACTTATTGGAAGGAGTCCAGAGGAGGGCCACAAAAATGATCAGAGGGCTGGAACACCTCTCCTCTGAAGAAAGACTGGGAGAGTTGGGGTTGTTCAGCCTGGAGAAGAGAAGCCTCTGGGGAGACCTTCTTGAGACCTTTCAATATACAAGGAGGCTTATAAGACAGATAGAGACTTTTTACCAAGGCTTGTTGTGACAGGATGAGGGGCAATGGTTTTAAACTGATACAGGGTAGGTTTAGATTGAAGATAAGGAAGACATTTTTTACGATGAGGGTGGTGAGACACTGGAACAGGTTGCCCAGAGAAGTTGTGGATGCCCCCTCCCTGGAAGTGTTCAAGGGTAGTTTGTATGTGCCTTTGATCAACTTGCTCTAGTGAAAGATGTCCCTGCGCATGGCAGGAGGGTTGGACCAGATCATCTTTAAAGGTGTCTTCTGACCCAAACCATTCTGTGATTCTATGATTGTGATGCAGTAAAGTACAAACCTACTCCCTCTACTATCCTTGAAAAAGGACACAAAAACAACTGAGATGATTGTGTTCATACTCAACTTCAACTCTACCAGGTCACTTTTCAAATAACTCTCCTAGTCCTGCTTTTAAAGGAACAAGTGCTGAGTCTTCCAGGGAATATCTTTCAGCCATATGAGAAACTTAGTGATAAAAATTATTTCCTGGTAGTTAGCTAAACTTCTCCCATTTGTTCAGATTTATTCCATTGTTCTTTGTAAATCTTTGTAAATCTTTGTTCAGGTTTATCCCATGTATCTCCTCAAAACCCCTGCTTATTACTTTAACTGCAGGCATGAGTCCCTTTTCAATCCTTACAAAAAAGTATGATATATCAGATATATTTCCCTTCTTTATTTTCTGGAGTAATCAGAATTAATTCTCATCTTTTTCCATGTATTTAAAGAGTATTTCAAGAAGGAATTGTTCTTCCAGATAGCATTGATTTTATTCGAGTTCTGGAAAAACAATATTAGAAAACTCATCACTTGTTATTTTTCAAACTAGCCTGCACAAACCCAGCAGAGCACATGGAGAACAACCCCGCAGCTCAGAACAGATTTAGTCTGTCTCCATTCATCCTTATACAAGTGAGTAAGATCAACCTGCAAGTTGCACACTAGCCTACCTTGGCTGTCCACACCAGGCTGCTCACCAAAACTGCATAGATCAAGGCTTTGCCACAGAGGAGGAGGTAAGTGAGCTTCAGAGAATTTCCATACCGCAAGTAGGACTCTGCAAATCAAACATAATTTGTGTATTGAATTATCATCATCACGAGAGACTAGATCTAATGCAGGTTTAATCAAATAAGAACCCTTGAAATCTTTAGCTAAGCAACACAAAGCAACTAAAGTCACATTAATGGCTCTGTTGACACAAGATAGCAGGGGATGGGAAAGAACACTATGATTTAATAAACCAAAAGAGAAAGCGAGTCGAGGAAAGACAGAGATTGACGTTTTGCTAAGAAAGTATGCCCTGATTTGGAATGTTTAACCATTGTTTTGCCACACTTATTGAAAAACTAGTCTGTTCATGTGAATCCCCTCTCAAGGACTCAAATTAAGCTGAATGACAAAATACAAATGTTTTTCACTTGTTATTGTCAGTGGCCTTGTAAGTGCTGCTGATATATTAGGGAAGTTTTACGTAGCCCAGAATAACATGGTATCTAGAAATTTTATTTTTATAGATTTTTCACTCTTAAGGAATTGCAGTAGTATGGAGACACCAGCCTGATCTTGGTTCAGCCTTAAGATTCCTGAAGCATTAAAGAAGTTGGTGAAAAATAAGAGTGTGTAAATATGTATACATAGAGGAAATAAACATATTTTTTAAGATGGGTATCCCTGCAGTTTGGAGGGGAATGTGACTTGTGATGAGAAGTATTCTGAATTTGATACCAAGAAATATTCAGAATTCCAGATTCTGAATCTTGATGTGACATCACTTGACTAAGTATGAATTTTTTCTTTCACGGCTGGGCAAGCAACTTCCCAACAGAAGGCAGTGTTAAGGACCAAGGGACATGATAAAAAGAGCAAAATAACAGTCTATGGGAAGGTTCCACAATGTCTTCTGTTATTTCAAAAGGGAATCACAAAGAAGAGCTAAAAAAACCAAAACACAGCTACGTACAGCATGCATATACAACCCTCCCAAAGTCTTTTTTTTTAAAAATCTAACATATGAACCACTTAAATGAGGAAATACAATTATTCTTGTAGTAGAAATCTCACACATCTTGTACTTCGCATCAGTAAAAGTGGAATTAAAATACATACAAGTATTTGCCTGTGAGAAGACACACATACCTTCCGTGACTGCACAACCTGAAAGACAAAAATTAACTGAAAGTCACATTTCTTTTCAATGCAAACAGAACATAAATTTTAGAAGTTTCGGTTTACAATATACTGCCTGATTAGTTTTAATATACTATCTATTTTATTATACTATACATTTTACTATACTACAGAGATTTCTCAATGAAAATATGAAGAATTTTTTGAAAAACTATAGACATATAATGATAATGTAGATACTAAGGACCAGGAATATGAAGAGACATATGCAAATACCTACATATTTACATGTATATTTATGCCATAACAACACCCTGTATAGAAGTTGCATATAGATACATTTCACATCATAACCCACATCCTTTTGATTTGTGATTTCTAGTTTGTACAGCATGGTGATATACATTTTTTTACTCACCAGCATCACCGTAGATGAATTTCTGTATTGATTCCAGTGTTTCATTCTGAAAAAATTCGGCAACACACTCAAAACGGTTCAAAGGGTTGAACCATTCCTGGGCTGAGATCCTCAGTCGGCTGGTCAATGAGTAGGTACTCTCATTCCGTGTAGAAAACTCATCTGTTCCCACCCCTTCTGTCCTTTTAGCACCATTCACCTTCCAAACCAGATTCAGGTGGTCAGGATAGAAACCAGAGGCCAGGCATACCAGTGTGGCCTTGCTCTTCTGTTGGATCTCTTGCTTTGATGGGGAAAAGATGGCCACAGCTGGAGGTATCATTTCATCGTCCTTCCCTGAAATGCAAAGCAATATGGCCCAGAGCCTCCATTACTGTCATCAATCAGAAGCCCCTTAAAATTGTACTGTATTTGTGCTATGTGACTCCTGATATATTGGGCCTTTTAACAACTGTCTCTTAGATGATTAATAACTATTAGATAGGTAGACACCAGGAAACTGAAAGCATTTGTCTTCACTCATTACACCAAAACATGAAAGTTTTGGCTAGAGAAATGCATGAGTGTTTGAATTTCTAGTTTTGTCTCTGTCAGAAGAATGGGAAAGCTGAAAAGAAGCTCAGCAAACAGGTAGGCAGAAAAGTATCCAGTAGTGCTATAAGGCCTGTACTTGTAATATTGTACTAATAGATAAGAGTTACAAGGCACAAGTATCTTCAACTGACTGTGTTACATTCTGGAGATGTAGTAAGACATGATGGTTTCTACAGTGTTCAGAATTACGCTGCCATGTGATACCCCACTTGAACCTCCTCTATCTAAGAAGTGACTTGAAAGGAAGGAGTGAACCTTTCTCACTAAGTGAAGAACACTTTCAGCAGATAACCTGAATCTGCCTGGGACAAGTTTTGCTTTAGGTCTTAACTTGCCATCCTTTCTTAAGGCTATGAAATATATCTTTATGCTATTTATTATTTAGGTTATCCTAGCCCTCATCCTAGACTACACATCTTCCCAAAATGATGCAAGATTCTATACAGTAACAAACCAAAAGGTGTCCCTTGTCCCAAAGTGTTTAATACCCACAATAAGACAAAAGACAACAGACTTCTACAGTCAAAAAGGATGTAGAAGTCAATGAGATGTCACTCATAAACTAGGCAGTGACCACTAAAAGCCACCTTTTTTTTTTCATATACTTTATTAAAGTGCCTTTTTTTTACTCATCTAGCATGATAAATCCACCAGGGCTGCAGAGCGCAGATGGGAACAGAAATGCAGACAGAACTATGGAGCCAAAGATAAAACTTTTACTTTTTTTTTGGTGTGAAGGCACTATAAATTGTAGATGTTCTTCCTGATCACTCCCTCCTTTCTAGAGTGCAGAGAAGTAGCAGAATTAGTAGAAACTGCTATCTTGCATAGATCTTGACCCCTAAGCCCTAGTGTTTGCTTTCAACTGTCAGCCTTAATCATGACTGTCAGTGCTTACTCTACAAAGATCCCTGAGGTGCTTCTGTGAAAAATGTGTGAACTTGTACGGACTTCAGTAGAGGTAATGGAGATAACACCCTAGAAGGTTTAGCACTGCTCTGCCTTCCTTCCAGTGGACATCATGAGAGGCTGATCATTGTTACTGGTCCCTTCTAGTACGTCACTTTATGAATTTTTTCTTATCCTAAAAGTATCTCTGACATAAGTTCACTGGCTCATAGCCTAAATGGCTAATGAGTGAAGACATGGAAACAGATGGGGAGGACACAAAAGAAAAATGAGAGATTTAACAGACTAAACAAAAAAAACCAAACCAAAACAAAAAAGACAAAGAGGAATGCAGGTGAAAAAGGCAGACAGAAAGAATGATAAAACTACGGGAAAGACAAAGTGTTCTGGTTTTGGCTGACATAGAGTTAATTTTCTTCCTAGTAGCTGGTATAGTGCTTTGTTTTGGATTTAGTATGAGAAAAACATTGATAACACACTGATGCTTTCACTTGTTGCTGGGTAGTTGTAGTGTCTACACTAAGTCAAGGACTTTTCAGCTTCCCACACCCTGCCAGGTGCACAAGAAACTGGGACAGCGCAGCCAGGACAGCTGACCCAGACTGGCCAAAGGGATATTCCATACCATATCATGTCATGCTCCGGATGTGACTGAGAAAGCTAGCCAGGATGCAGATTCGCTGCCTGGAAACAGACTGGGCAGTGGTTTTGTTTTGGGTTTTTTCCCCTACATATGGTAAGCAACTGCATTTGTGCATAACATTATTATTATTACTACTACTATTATTATTCTCTTCCTTTGTTATCCTATTGAACTGCCTTTATCTCAGCCCACAAGGTTTTTTCCCCATTCTCCTCCCCATCCCCCCAGCAGAGGGAGGACTGAGCGAGCAGCTGTGTTACAGTTTGGGGCAAAACCATGACACAAAGCAAGCCAGCGAATGAGCGTGCTTGAAAGGGAATAAAGAGACTGGTACTAGCAAGAGCAGAGACAATCAGAAAAAAGTGTTAGCAACAGCCCATTCTGTTCTGATCTTCCACAGTGTTCATGGCAGACACTGGCACAATGCTTAATCACTTCCATGCATAAACTCATGCATTCTCTGTCACACATACTTCACCCACCTAAGAGGAAAAAGTACCTCAGTTCTTCCATTCTCATCATGGCAAGGTCAGTTGCATGATTTTTTGGTATCTTTTACTCCTACTCTCATCTTAAAATCATCTGTGTATATGCTACATATCATTAATGCAAAGGAAATTTTCAAGAATCCTCCACATTGAGCACTTGGGTTAATCACAGCTGCATAGCTAAAACTGTGAGCACAGTGCCAACACCAAAGGTAGGTAGTGCAGTTAAAAAGTACAGCTGTACACAATCAAGACTATAACCCGCAGTTATGCTCTTGCCAGCCACTTAGTTCCTTAAAATGATACTGTTTAAAGGAGCAGGCACCAGTGTGTATTTCTACAGTTTGCTATCATCAGATGTGGCAGTAGCAGATGGAAAACATTATTTTGCACTGTGATTCCAAAATGCCTTGATAAAGGTGATGTTAAATCTTTCGCTAGGAGGGGAGAAGGCAGAGAAAGCAGATGGGGAAAAAGAGAAAGAACAGAGGAGAAAAGTGCACCGAGAGAAAAACAATACAGTCCTTTTTGAGAATTAGAAGTTGTGAAAAGGACTGTTAGAGGAAGCCAGTGTCCCAAATCAACTTTGGGGACCCTCCCCACCATCTCTGCAGCGGGGCAAAGTAACAGGAAGACTAGTTTTTCCCTGCATGATTCAGCACACACAAGAATCTGGACTCTACCTCTGAAATGTTGCTTTTGATTGTTACATATACAAACTGCAAAAACTTGCAGACTGAAGAAGGATCCTTCATTCCTCCCCATGGGAGGAAACAATTATTTCTTCCTTTCTCCTTTCATAAAGTTCCCATTAAGTGAAGACAGAGGCAAGGAACACAAGGATCTCAAAATTCATGCCTGCAAATCCCACATTTCCATATTAGTACACTTCATTTTAATAAGCAACCAATAAAGCATTAATCCTGTCTTCATGGCTGTATGAAAAATGATCATTATTCTGCTCTTAATTAAGAATGCTCTTGTCCCCTAAACTAGTATTACATATATCATGGAGATCGAAATTTTGTCTTACCTAGGACTGTGAGTTTTGTCCCACTGCCAAAGTTCAATTTTTCATTATTCACACTGTTTTGCAGCTGCAGAAAAACCTCTCCTCTACTCTCTGTTCTCTGAGCTAAACCTGTGGACTAACCCTCCCCTCATGCAGAACCAGCAAAAGAAGAAACAGAAATTACTTTAATTTATGGTCCCCTAAAAAAAAAAAAAAAGAAAGATCTGTAAGGGATTACCACCACATCTATGTGTCTAACCAGGTAAGATCAATCTCAGAAATACCTCTTCCAGAGCCCTTTTGCTTCAGGCTTAGGTGAATTGGTTGTTGCAGCTTTCACCATTTCTTTAAAGGACATGTATCTATTTATCTAGGTGTTCTATTAGAAAATATTTCCTATATGCAGACAGAATACTTTGCTTATTTTCAACTAAACAGCCTCATTTCCTTACGTTTTCCTCATTTCCTTTCAACATCATGAACATTCTTCTCTTGTAAAATAAATGTCTTTTTTTTTAACTTACAAAATAAGTTGCAATATATAACACGGGACCCTGGTCCACTATCCCCACTGTAGCAGTTCCTAAACATCCCTCCCTTTCTCCTTCCCTGGAAGGAACTCCGCTTTTATTCTCTCTGTTCTTTTAGCTATGATTATTAAAGTTAGCTGCATAATTGACTATGGTCAATGAGGGATCAGTATATTGTTTTTCATCAGCTCAGGCAGCTCAGATTCAAACTGGATTTCAAAAAATGTGCCGATCACCTAATTTTTCCTATGGAGATTGAATTTTATCACTTGTAATCATTTTACTCTGCAGTGGAACGGTGTGGTACAAGAGCCTGAGGCATCAATTCTTCTGACTCAGGAGCAATACAAGGAGAAGAAGGGATCACCATCATTTATCAGTCTTAGAAGCAGCCTTGTTTTCCTCTTGATTTGGAGAGTCCAAATCCAGAAGTGTGGTCCAGAGAGATACATTCCTGAGAGCTACTTTTAATTGAAATGAATCACATCATAGAATATTCCGTTTCTGTGGTTTTGAGTGGCCTTTTAGTATCTATTCTGAAATAGTAAGATCGTTGTCCTAAATGATCTTTTTTATAATCACCATTCTGATAAGCCTGTTTTGTGGAAAGAAACTTGCTGCACTGTGGTGAGTTGTTTTCTATAACAGCAAGGAATTAAACAGCTGCAGAGAGCTGTTAGCATTGCTTATGATAAAGTTGAGTATTTATTTCTGACTTCTGTTTTGTCAACTAAAAATGCTAGTACACTTATTTGTCTCTCCCAGTTTTCTGAAATAACACATGCTTTAGTTTACCCTGAAAAGCTTCAAAGTAATTTAAGTTTGTAGAGTCTTGATTTCGTTTTCTAGACCTGTCCAAAGTGTAACTGTAACTCAATTCTTTACAGAGAGATAGCCTTTCACTGACTTGTCCTTAATCACCCGTAGCCCCAGGAGAACTATCATTATGGAGAATAATTATACTTTTGGAGAATAGTGATTTTTGCAGATGTCACTTTATTAAAACAATATACTTGTGATATGCACATGTTTTTTAACCCATTCTTCATACTAAGTCTTTCTATGGACAGTTTTTTATTCACTGAAAATGCATTCATTTGGTTCTCTGAAGTGAAATGTGTGCCCCTACCTGGAGTACTAAACTCAGTCTATTCTCCAAAGTAGAGTGGATTAGTAACCCAGCACATCAGGAAAACACCAGTTTAATACTGAAACGGAGAATAAGGGTGAAGTGAAGCTTTCTACAGAGAAGACCTGGGATCTGAAGTGATTTAAAAGAGAAAACAAGAATTTCTTACCCATTACTGTAAGTTTTGTGCCATCGCCGAAAACAATCTTATTGGTGGTCACGATGACAAAGTGATGTATCAGAAGCTAAGAAAAGGGATGCACTGCAGTTGACTTTAATAAGCAGAAGCTTAAGCAATGTTTACTGTATCTGGAATCCCAAAGATCTCTCAATCTCTGTCCGAAGGGCTTTGGCAGAAAACCAGCTTGAAATCCTGTTGCATTTCTGAGAGTTTTTTGATACTTATTTTTATTGTCTACATTTTACCTCATGTTGTTTCACAATCTTTCTCTAACCTCCATGTTATCTCATTGGTATTACCTGCTATTCTTGTTTTGCAGCTGTAGGAACCAAAGTGGTAGAGGCTGTCATTGCCTAGAAATACAATTCTTCTACAACAAGACCTTCCTTACTGTCAGTCTTGTACTTTAAGCATTGTGAAGCCTTCCTTTCTGTAACTTCTGGAATTAATAATCAAATACTTGCTTTGTGGTTGTCATAGTCACATGCCTTTTCATATAGGTGGTTCGCCTTTGTGGCACTGAACTAAAACAAATCCATTTGTTTTCTCTTCAATGTCAGGCCAGCCATCTTGAATAGTCTTTCTGGTTCCCATTCCATTTTCTGCTAGGTTAAAAGTAATCCACACAAGAAGAGTCCAGAAGAATCAGTTAGCTGGTCTCAGACAAACCCTTGATATCCATTAGGAAGAACTGCAGTGAGAAAGTGTGGAGAAGGATGAGAGAAAACCTTTGTGCTCACAGGTCTGAGTCAGTCATGCACACTGAAGGTTTACTTATGAGAGAAAACCCCAGCACATTTTATATCGTGCCTCTGAGAGATATCTGCTACGTATTAGAATTCTTTTTCTAAGACTTTTATCACATTAATGAAGAACCATTTTGTGGTCTATTGCAAACATTATTGCATCAGAAAAAAAATACTAATTCTCTGCTTCAAATACTCTGATAGGTTTTAAGTCAATCTGTAGTCAATCTGGTTTGCTGAACATTATTTCAATCTCTCAGAATCTCCTGTCTTGTTTTCCAGAGAGGGCAGGCTCAGTTCTGACATGAAGTTAAGTCCTAGCACGCTAGGTCTGCCAAGAAAAACCAAGAGCGAACACGCCTGCTGTGCTGCAGAATGCTCTGTGGCTGTCTTAACACAGTGTACCACAATGCTTACGCACATACCGGTTTTTGTAAAGGCCTCCTGTGGAATGTATCATTGTGGACCACCTGTCCCCACAACGATGCAACCTCGTACAAAAACAATTCCACCCATGGCTCCACCCTTCCATTTCTGTCACCCAGTCACCATGAAAGATTGCCATAGGAACCACAGGCCACATCCTTCCTCTGCCATTGCTGTTTCTGTTTGATAGCCTGATTACCTCTTAGTGTGTCCATTATCCCTGAATTTATAATCCCAACATTTTTTTCCTAGAGGCAAAAAAATATTTTTTTTATTAGCTAGTTTAAAATGCAGTTACTTTTCACTTGGTAACTTCATAACAGCGTTCATGCTGCTTTCCTTACCACTTTTTTTTCTTCTGCCCCAGGATAATAAACAGAACTCAAGCCCACAGGTTTGCATTGAGAGCAATTTGCTTACTACAAACCGGTGTTTCTGTTTGTAGCCTGGCCTGATTGTGAATATCCTCTTTGGTCTGTGCTGCGCTTGTCACAGTTGTTCTGAAAGGGAGGGAAGTAGCATGCTGAGCTCTTCAGTTTGTATTCCTCTGACTGCCCTGTTACAGGAAGCAGAAGTACAAGCTTCTCCCACACGCCTGTAACCCTGACTATGAAATGGCTTCATCTAGGAATAAGAGCATGCCTTCATTTTGGAGACTTTCTGAAGGGTGTGGGGACTGGTGGTGACAGGTAACAGGAGACTTTTATCTCCCTCCCTTACACCTAACTAAATGGAGACACAAAACTATCCCTTCCCCCCACAACCCACATCCCCCCTTCCCCCCCC